GGCTCCAGTATCTGTGCTCTGTTCTCCAAAGCCTTCCCTGAATTAGTCCTTCTCAGGCAGAATTAATCAATTCTTTCTTCACCCATAAAACTTTCACAGGTATACTCCTGTGGTATTCATCATACTATGTTCTGGTTTTGTATACACACTTATCCCCACCATATTTTGAGTTCTAGATGGGACCAAGACTTCCTCATGTTTTGCACCCCCTGCCTAGTACAGTGTCTGCACAAACAGTAGGTATGCAATAAGTGTTCCTTGACTAATGACCGACCAAACGAAAGCACAAATGCGAAGAACTGATTTTGCTGAGATTCATAGTGTGAATCCTTATCTGGTTTAGGAGAGACTGAACATCACAGGAGAAAGCAAGCTTAGAAGGCAAAGAGAAAGCCTAGATGTTTGGAGTAATGATTAGGGGTTTCCTTATCTGAACTAAGACACTATAATAATCCCTTTGTAGCCATGTAGCATCTTTTTCAGATAAGCTTTTGGTCTAGGACGGATATAATCTCCTTCAGCTTGTTTGTGAATCAACTTGTCCCAAGGTCACAGAGTCATTCTCTGGCAGAAACAACAGACCCAAGAGCTCCCAATTCCCATGTCAGTGCTCTGAGTTCCAGTGCATACTGTCTCTATTAATAGTGTTCTCCTTGTCAAGGGTACATAGCATATATATGTGAGGGGATTTATGAAAGAAACTTGCCGTGAGACCTGTTTAGATATGCTTCACCCTCACTCACATTCAATCAAGGAGAGCAAATCTCAGACAATCCAAACAGTGACCTGAAAAGAGACCTGTTCTAAAATTCTAGATAAATAATGTGTTGCTTGCAAGTAAAAATTCACTTTAGAGTGTGGATATTATTGTAACTCAGTAATCCTCCCTCCAGCCCACTGAACTTTTAATTTCTTCAAAGCTTTCTATTCAGCCCCCATTCCCCCTACCCCCATCTTTTAGTGGCAGGGGCATAAATGCTCTTTAGTTTCCAGCTCTGGGGCTGTCTGAACCTTGATCACAGAATCTCAAGACACATCTCCCCACACAAGGTAATTTATCTGCAATGCAGTACAGAGCATGGTCACTCAATAAGCATTCTGATTATAGCCTTCTAGATCCTTCTTTGGAAAATGGCATGCACCAGGGCTTTAAAATATGATTTTCTGAATGCAATCACAATTTGGTAACAAAATTTGGAACTTACAGAATGAAGTGTGAATGGCATTTTCACCCTCACAAGACCTGAGACCTTTCACACTTCATTTTTTAAGTTTTAAAGTTAGAGTTTAAAGCTCTGTGCCTCAGTAAAGATTAAAGGAATGCATTTTGATGTTCGGATGACAGAAATGACAACTCCTCACCAAAGTGTAACTGCTTAGCATCTTCATTGGTTCATATTTTATGTGCCATGAATGCTATACATATTATCTAAGATCCTCAATAGAACCTTGAAAAACTGACATTATTATTCCCAGTTTACAGATAAAAAGACTAAGGCTAAGGGATCTTAAGTGATTTGCCCAAGATAGAGGTAATGTAGCCAGGCCAATATGAAAAATTTAGCATTTCTAACTCTGTAAGTCCAAGCTCCTTCCACTTCACTATGTTGCAAAGAATATATCCAAAGATATGGACAATAAAAATGGTAGATGCTTCTCAAATTCATTAGTACTTAGAGATAGAATTTTGAATATTTTACTAATATATGAATAAATACAAGAACCTCTCAATTTGCTTGGAATAACTACATTATTGACTTAACACAAGCTAAAAAAGTATGCTCCTTTCCTGTTCATAGCCCTCCAGTATTTTTTCCATGCTAGAGACAGATACTGTTTTATAAAGTGAAGCAAAGTTTGCATTGAAAATGAAAAAATTATAGACAGCATTTCCCATAGGGAGAGAAATTATGTTTCAAAGGCTTTTTCTCTATGTATTGTGAAGAGGAGGGGAGGAAATATTAAATAAATTGAGTTCTAAAGTAAAACAGACATTGCCACATGAATAATATTAACCTAGTACTGGCTGAAATACAGGCAGGCCAGCACTTTCACTACCTCTGCCTAAATTCAGATCATACAATGTCTACTACAAATCAGAAAGAAAGAAAATAAGTCAACAGTTTAGAAGGTACCACCAAAAATAATGCTTAAGCATGGGAGGGAGACAGAAAGAACAACTCTATAATGTAGTTTTGAAGTATGACAAAAAGCATAATAAAGCATACTATCCATAATCGGCTTTGCAAATTAACAGTATTCTAAGAACTTGAAAAATAGATGAAATCTTACTCAACACTTTTTAGGGAAATCTTCTTGTAGCAAGCTCTTTAGACAATATTTCTTCTCCAGGCTCTGATTCTAGAAACACAAAGTGTAGCGTGTGAGAGAGGAAGAGGGACTAGAAATATTATCACAAGAAATCCAAAGCTTTGGATACTTCCTCCCAGGAATGCAAAAGAAAGGGACTGTAGGAGCAATTGAAAAAGAGGAGGTACCCAGAGGTGGGATTTTTAAGGGAACACAGGAAGTCAGAGATGAAAAAGGGATAATTCAGTCCAAACCAAATAGGTTTTGTGTTTTTGAGACAGAGTTTCACTCTTCTTGCCCAGGTTGCCCAGGCTGGGGTGCAATGGCATAATCTTGGTTCACTGCAACCTCTGCCTCCCAGGTTCAAGTGATTCTCCTGCCTCAGCCTTCCAAGTAGCCGGGATTACAGGCATGTGCCACCACACCCAGCTAATTTTTTTTCTATTTTTAGTAGAGATAGAGTTTCACCACATTGACCAGGCTGGTCTCGAACCCCCAACCTCAGATGATTTGCCTGCCTCAGCCTCCCAAAGTGCTGGGATTACAGGCATGAGCCACTGTGCCTGGCCAGACCAAACATTTTACTGATGAAGAAACTAAGTCCTGGTGATGAAGTGGCCAGTTACACTGTCAAGCCAAGGCAGAGCTGCGTTTGAACTCAAGTCTCCTAATTCTCAGGCTGGTGCTCTTTCTACCTCACTTGACACAGTGAGGAATAAATTACTACTGTGAGAAGCAAATGCTCATTCCTAATAGTCCAGGCTGGTGTCAGGGCCCCTCACGGCAAATACTCTGAGACCCCTAAAACTGAAAGAAGATGGATTTGAGCCAGAGATTCAGTTCATGTATTCCCATGTTTTTCCCTAACGTAAGATTATGCTAAAAAAGAAAAAAATGGGTAAACTAATTAAAGTATATTCATGGCAGACTAAATGACAAAAAGATAAAGACTGCTATGGATGAATCTCAAGAAATTGTATATTAAATGAAAGAATCTAGATGTAAAAAATAAATATAATGTGATCCTTATCTGATTTAAAAGAATATATGGAAATAATTTGTGGTGATAGAGGTCAGAAAGTCACTGCCTCTGAGGGTGGCAGATGAAATCTGAATAGAAAGAGAAATAAGGGAAATTTCTTGGAGAATACGTACAATTGCCAAATCTCCTGAAATCGACGACTCATGATCTGAGGATTTCATTGCATATAAATTAGGCCTCCATTAAAAATAAGAAAAATGCAAAAAAGAAATAAATTATACTCAAAGCAATATTATGAATATATTGTTATATGAATATATAAAATAGAAATAAATATAAAATAAATAAATAAAAATGGGGAAAATATTAATTCTATAGCTCATTTGACAAAGATGAATTTCCTTTGGATTGGGCAAAGATTTCTTGAGTAACACCCCACAAACACAGGCAACCAAAGAAAAAATGGATAAATGGGATCATGTCAAGTATTTCTCACAGGAAACGAAGAGAAAAACCAATGAAAGGGAGAAAATATTTACAAACTATCTATTTGACAAGGAATGAATAACCAGCATCTATAAGAAGTTAAAAAAACTCTATGGGAAAAAATCTAAGTATCTGATGTAAAACTGGGCAAAAGATATGAATAGACATTTCTGAAAAGAAGATATACAAATGGCAAATAGGGATGTGAAAAGGTGCTCAACATCATTGAGCATCAGAGATATGCGAACTGAAACTACAATCAGATATCATCTTGCCTCAGTTTAAATGGCTTTTATCCAAAAGACAGGTAATAACAAATGCTGTCTTCTGGATAAAACAAATGAGGATGTGGAGAAAAGGGAACCTTTGTACACTGGTGGTGGGAGTGCAAATGAGCATAACTACTGTGGAGAACGGTTTGGAGGTGCCTCAACAAACTAAAAATAGAGTTCCCATGTAATCCAGGAAACTCACTGCTAGGTATAAACACAAAAGAAAGGAAATGAGCAGATCCAAAAGACATCTGCAACCCCATGTTGCAGCACTACCCACAACAGCCAGGATTTAGAAGCAACCTAAATGTCTATCAACAGATGAATGGATAGAGAAAATGTGGTGCATATACACAACGGAGTAGTATGCAGCCAGGAAAAATAATGAGATGCTGTCACTTGCAGGATGGAATTGGATGTCAGTATGTTAAGTGAAATAAGCCTGGCACAGAAAGACAAACTTTGTATGTTCTCACTTATTTGTGGGAGCTAAAAGTGAAAACAATCGAATTCATGGAGATAGAGAGTAGAGTTGTGATCACCAGAGGCTCGCAGCAATAGTGGGAGGGCTAGGGCAGGGAAGTGGGGATAGTTAATGAATAAAAAATTAGAAAGAATAAATAAGATCTAGTATTTGGTAGCACAACAGGGTGACTATAGTCATTATTAATTTAATTGTACATTTTAAAATAACTAAAACAGTATTGGATTACTCATGAAACAAAGGATAAATGCTTGAGGGGGCGGATATCCCACTTAACCTGATGTGATTATTATGCATTGCATGCCTGTATCAAAATATCTCATGTACACCACAAATATATGCACCTACAATGTACTCAAAATTTTTTTTAAATAATAAAAAAGGATGAATGTCCTAGCTAGGAAAAGGTTTAACTCTCTAAGTGTAAACAAACAATATTTTTGCTTTCTTTCTGTTTTTATTTTAGAGCTGAAGGCCTGCTGTGGTGACTCACACCTCCCAACACTTCGGGAGGCTGAGGCAGGAGTATGACCTGAGACTAGGAGTTTGAGACCAGCCTGGGCAACATAGCAAGACTCTATCTCTACTAAAAATTTAAAAACTTAGCCAGGCATGCTGGCATGTGCTTATAGTCTCACCTACTCAGGAGACTGAGGTGGGAGGATCACTTGAGCTCAGGAGCTTGAAGCTGTAGTGAGCGCTAATCATGCCACTGCACTCTAGCCTGGACAACAGAGCAAGACCCTGTCTGAAAATAATATAAAACAAAACAACAGCAAGAAAAGAAAACAAACACAGAAAACAAACCAAACAAAACATTAGACATTATTAGAAAAGGTATGTCTATTTTTATGCAACTTGAAATAACTCCTATTCACAACTTAATCTTTTTTTAATTTAAGTTTTTTTTTTTTTACAATTTAGTCTTTTAAAATAATTAAAACTGCAGCTCTTTCAATCAATTTTTTTCTTTTTTAAATTATATTTTAAGTTTTGGGATACATGTGCAGAACATGCAGGTTTGTTACATAGGTATACATGTGCCATGGTGGTTTGCTGCACCCATCACCCTGTCATCTATATTAAGTATTTCTCCTAATGCTATCCCTTTCCTAGCACCCCACTCCCCAACAGGCCCCGGTGTGTGATATTCCCCTCCCTGTGTCCATGTGTTCTCATTGTTCAACTCCCACTTATGAGTGAGAACATGCTGTGCTTGGTTTTCTCTTTCTGTATTAGTTTGCTGAGAATGATGGTTTCCAGCTTCATCCATGTCCCTGCAAAGACTTGAACTCATCCTTTTCTAGTATTCCATGGTGTATATGTGCCACATTTTCTTTATCCACTCTATCATTGATGGGCATTTGGGTTGGTTCCAAGTTTTTGCTATTGTGAACAGTGCTGCAATAAACATACATGTGCATGTGAATTTATAGTAGAATGATGTATAATCTTTTGGGTATATACCCAGTAATGAAATTGCTAGGTTACTGGTATTTCTGGTTCTAGATCTTTGAGGAATCACCACACTGTCTTCCACAATGGTTGAAGTAATTTACACTCCCATTAACAGTGTAAAAGCATATCTATCTCTCCCATCCTCTCCAGCATCTGGTGGTTCCTGACTTTTTAATGATCGCCATTCTAACTGGCTTGAGATGGTATCTCATTGTGGTTTTGATTTGCATTTCTCTAATGACCAGTGATGAGCTTTTTCATGTTTGTTAGCCACATAAATTTCTTCTTTTGAGAAGTGTCCTTTCATATTCTTCATCCACTTTTTGATGGGTTTGTTGTTTTTTTTTTCTTGTAAATTTAAATTCCATGTAAATTCTGGATAGAAGCCTTTTGTCAGGTAGATAGATTGCAAAAATTTTCTCCCATTCTGTAGGTTACCTGATAGTTTCTTTTGCTGTGCAGAAGCTCTTTAGTTTAATTAGATCCCATTTGTCAATTTTGGCTTTTGTTGCCATTGCTTTTAGTGTTTTAGTCAGGAAGTCTTTGCCCATGCCTATGTCCTGAATGGTATTGCCTAGGTTTTCTTCCAGGGTTTTTATGGTTTTAGGTCTTATATATATGACAAACTCACAGCCAATATTACACTGAATGGGCCAAAGCTAGGAGGATTCCCTTTGAAAACTGGCACAAGACAAGGGTGCCTTCTCTCCCCACTCCTATTCAACACCGTATTGGAAGTTCTGGCTAGGGCGATCAGGCAAGAAAAAGAAATAAAGAATATTCAAATGGGAAGAGAGGAAGTCAAATTGTCTCTGTTTGCAGATGACATAATTGTATATTTAGAAAACTCCATCGTCTCAGCCCAAAATCTCCCTAAGCTGATAAGCAACTTCAGCCAAGTCCCAGGATACAAAATCAATGTGCAAAAATCACAAGCATTCCTATACACCAATAATAGACAAACAGCCAAATCATGAGTGAAATTCCATTTGCAATTGCTACAAAGATAATAAAATATCTAGGAATACAACTCAATCAATTTCTCACATAGAAAAGTTTAAAGAACAATTTCAGGGGAGGAAGGAATATTTGAAGTCATCTGTTTCAAGCAAATAACTGGGTAGTTAAAACAAATTCAGAAAGGGCAGGTGACCTTACTGGAAGAGGCCGGAGTAGAATTGTTAAGTTGAGAGGATGTGCTCTTTTCACTGTACCACACATACCCTTATGACATCGAGAGATGTCTTAAACCCAGCCCACCTTCAGACATCTACCTTCCTAAAGCCCTATGTCCAAAAACACAAATCACAGAGATTGTTTTTCTAAGGGGCCTTCCATATCGCTGATGAAAACACTTCACAAGGACTCATGAACACATGCTATCAATAGGCTGGTCTTAATGACTGGCCTACAGTTAATGACAGCTGGTGGTCTCCTAATTCTCCTGCCATGGCTAGGGACAGTCTGATGACCCACATAGCACACAGCACATCCTGCATTGGGACTCAGGAGGAAGAAAAGCGAGTTCCAAACAAAGCATCATTTTCCCAAGTGTTTTGGATGCCTGCCACATCAGATGCCTCTACCTTTAATATAGAATGAGCCTCAGCTTGCTCTGGAGGCCAAAGAGTGCCAGAAACAAGGCTGGAGGTGGAAAAGAATGTTGCTGGATTTCAGAACAGGCTGGAATACTAGTACTGTCACATGTAATTTCACATGATTGGCAAGCCACTTCACTGGTAATTTCCTTATGTGTAAGATGAGAATAATAATGACCCTTTGATTGCTTGGGGCCAGGAGTTCAAAACCAGCATGGGCAACATAGTGATATCCCATCTATATAAAATTAAAAAACAAAAATAGTTAGGTAAGGTCATGCATACCTGTAGTCCCAGTTACTTGTGAGGCCAAGGTGGAAAAATCACTTGACCCCAGGATGTTGGGGTTGCAGTGATCGATGATGTACCACTGCAGTCCAGCCTGGGCAACAGAGCAAGACTCTGTCTAAATAAATAAATAAAGTCCTTTTGTGGGGTTGAGAGAGCTAAACATATGGGAGAAGCCAAAGTCCAGTCCTCTAGAGATGCACAAGATTCACCATTACAAAGGATGGTGTAAAGCCTTCCCGTATCCTTGGGAGTGTCAATATGGCTTCCTTTTGCATTTTCAGTATTTATTCTCTAAGTCCAAGAGGAAGACATGGTTTTTATATAGGTAAAACATAGCTTCCAGTCACCCCCAATTCTCTCTTGAATTCTCAGATACTGGTTTCAAAATTGAACAGGGATATAACAAAGATCTGAACATGTTACTCTCTGACCTCATCAATAGCTGGAAAAAGAAAGAAATCCTGGGTTTCTTAGACTAGGAAGGAATAGGAAAAAGAAGACTGAAAACAACAACCACAACAAAACTATGTCCATCCCTGCACCTTATAACTTTGCTGTTTACTCAAATAAACAACCCTTTAGCAGATGTGTTAGTGCAGTCTGACAATGATTACATTTACGGCTAGTAATATGAGTGATGAACTAAATGTTTGCTGAAAGCTTGGGGGCTCTAACTATAGAATAAACATCAGTTATCCTTGTTGACATCATAATGGAGCTGTGGGGTTTGAAATCTAACCTGGAGTAACAACCGATCCTTACAGTAAGATTTCAGATATTTAGATAAGACTCTATTAAAACAGCAATAAAAATGTTTCCCTGTTTATATACTGCACTGTAGGCACGTAGGACAGTTTCAGAGTTAAAAGCAGCTTTGTGTAACTCAAATGCCTTTCCCTACTTGTAGGTGCAGTCAGGGTTCTCTCTTTCCTAGAGAATGTTAGGTAAAAGAAGAAATACTCTGATGATTTCATCAGGTGGTAAGAAGTGTGGAAGATACCATCACAAATTCAGCTTCTTTTAATTAAAAAAAAAATTTTAAAAAAGTTTTCTTTTGGGATACATGTGCAGAACATACAGGTTTGTAACATAGGTATACATATGCCATGGTGGATTACTATACCCATCAATCTGTCATCTAGGTTTTAAGCCCCACATGCATTGGGTATTTGTCCTAATGTTCTCCCGCTCTTTGCCCCACACCCGGCAACATGCCAAGGTTTGTGATGGTGTGATGTTCCCCTCCCTGAGTCCTTGTGTTCTCATTGTTTAACTCCCACTTAGGAGTGAGAACATGCAGTGTTTGGTTTTCTGTTCCTGTATTAGTTTGCTGAGGATAATGGCTTCCAGCTTCATCCATGTCCCTGCAAAGGACATGAACTAATTCTTTTTTATGGCTGTATAGTATTCTATGGTATATATGTGCCACAATTTTTTTATCCAGCCCTGACTTCAACTTATAGTCTTATAAGCAATTATGCTTCAACTTTTCAAATGAGGAATGAAAATCAGAGTATGAAATGGAGCTGCACCTATCTTAAAGCTGTACATTTTCAGGGAGCAAAGTTGTTTCTAGAATATTTTGAGACAGAGGAGACAGTGAGGAACCAGGAGCTGGATAAGCCATGCCTTTTTATAAGATTTCGATTATGTCAAATGTTTAAGACCACTAAAGCCTTTGGGGAAACAACATGGGTTTAGGAGTTTCAAAAGGTGCATATGAATCCTCCCATCATTTAGAAGCTAACTTTTGTGACAAAGTCCCTTATCCTCCTAGAATCTTTTTTCATCTGTAAAATGTATATCACAATATATCTGAAAAACAGTAACAGAGTAATAGAATGGTAAAAAGGAACATTTATTGTAATAATAGAATGTTTAATAATGCTAGCAATACTACAGTGTTAAAATAATGAAGTACTTTCTAAGTCATGAAGTGCTAAACATTTAATAACAGCATTTGAGGCTGTTATTAATTGGAAGCAAACAAGACTAGGGATAGGAGCCACTAGAGATAGACTTTTTAATAATACAAGCTTGCATATGTTGAGTTTGCATAGAGCAATCTATGGCCCAAAGTTGTTCCACGTTTTCTCACACTAGATAGAGAGACGAGGTTCTTAGGGCTCCTGAATTGCCTAATGTTAAAAAGAACATACTGCCAGGATCCAGACCCAGATCTTATAAAAGCAAAGCAAGGCCTCTCTCATTTCATTAGCGTTCTGCCTTCCTTACTTGACTCCTGGGCAATGACTTCTTTATATTTCTTTTCTTTTCTTTTTTCTTTTTTTGAGACTGAGTCTCATTCTGTCACCCAGGCTGGAGTGTGGTGGCACAATCTTGGCTCACTGCAAACCTCCACCTTCTAGGTCCAAGCAGTTCTTGTGCCTTGGCCTCCTGAGTAGCTGGGATTATAGAAGCTCGCCACCACTCCCAGCTAATTTTTGTATTTTTAGTAAAGATGGGGTTTCACCATGTTGGCCAGGCTGGTCTTGAACTCCTGAACTCAGGTGATCCACCCACCTCGGCCTCCCAAAGTACTGGGATGATAGGCATGAGCCACCGCGCCCGGCCCCTTTATATTTCTTAATGCATCCTTGTTAAGTTTGCTTTTCTCAAAGTAATGAGGATATTTAAAATAATCTCAAAGGTGGGAAAGATTCTGGAAAGTGGGGTTCCGGCTTAAAAAAAGCAAAGAATGGCTTTAATATTTAGTCACGGATCATCAAACTTGAAATAGGGTCAATTTCAAGATTTAAATGAAAAGATATAAGCAAGGTTGGCAGAACAGACTGAATTTCTCAGTTACTGATGGGGACAGTGACTACTGTTCTCTCATCCTCTGACCAAACAAACACAATCTCAATTTAGTTGTAAACACAAAGGACAGACGTTGATCCTGATAGCAGGAATACCAAAACTAGAAATTAAGCAGGAAGCCAGATTTCTTTTCTTTTTCTTCCTCTTCCTCTTCTTTCTTCCTCTTCTTCTTCCTCCTCCTCCTCCTCCTCTTCTTCTTCTTTCTTTGAGATGATGTCTCACTCTGTTGTCCAGGCTGGAGTGCAATGGTGCGATCGTGGCTCACTGCAACCTCTGCCTCCTGGATTCAAGTGATTCTCCTGCCTCAGTCTCCTGAGTAGTTGGGACTACAGGTGCCTGGCACCACACCCTGCTAATTTTTGTCTTTTTAGTAGAGACAGGGTTTCACGCATTGGTCAGACCAGTCTTGAACTCCTGACCTTGTGATCCACCCACCTCGACCTCCCAAATGTTGGGAAACACAGATTTCTTCTCAGGCTCTTCTTTATCCCTAGAACCAGCCAGTCTAGGAGCAGTCACAAAACAGAGTAATGCTACATTTTTATGAAAAACAAAATTGGGAATATATACACAATATCTTGATGAAGGCACAATATTTTAATTCATTGACTAACAATAAATGAGGCAAATATGTCAGCTTCCTCATCTGTAAATGATAAGGATTTAGGCAGGAGCTCTAAATGCCCATGTAGTTCTGACAGTTTAGATTTTATGCCACATGAACACAAAGTTAGTCAACCAAGCATGCCCCTAAAACCCAGGAACCAAGTCTTATAAACCCATTGTGATTTCTGGGAAGATATTGAAAATATTTACTCTGCAATTGGAAATATTTTAACTTCTATTTATTTGGATGCTACTGAAAATAACACAAAACATTTATAGAGTATTAAAAAGTGATAAGCAATATGTACCAGTAAAATATCTTATAAAAACCTAGGTGATGCATCTAATAGAATTAAGCAGCTCATGGAATCAAACTGAAAAATTCATCCATGCATTCATTCATGCATTGAAACTCTATTGTGTGCGAAGCATAATTAAAAGCCCTGCAGGGACAGAGTGAAGAATCTGACCATGGATGCCACTCTTGTCAGGTTGTTCTCACAGAAACAATACAAGGGAACGCCATACAGGACTGGAAAGTTGGCAAAGCCGAAAAGTCATGGAACACCAAATGTTTATTATATAACACTAGGGCAAATACGACAGCCCTAAAACCTGTGTCAATTATCATTATAGAAATATGAATACACAGGAATGTTTCATGTTTGCCCACCTCCAAGCCTACAGACTAAAGAGAATGATCTTTTATTTTACGCATAAAAGACAACATCAAAGAGTTTAAGGCTCAAGATGTGGAAAAGAAATAGCTCACACAAAGAGAAATAAAAAAAGTGGGCTGGCAGCAGATACATGTTTCATTACTGTCTTCTTCTTTAAAGAAAATTAAAATAAACATTTCCTGCAGTTTTGAAAAACCAAACATGATCTTACAGTTCTGGTCAGAAACAACATATAAAATTTATCTGAAATAAAAGGCAAAATTGTCCGAAAGCATTTGTTCTAAATCCTGGCTGACAGGTGTTCACAAGATACATAATAAAGCCCTTGCTTCCTCATCAAAAATACGAAGAACTACCCAGGAATGAGATGCACATCTGAGACAATTAAAATGGTTTCCCTTCAAATGAAACGATTGTGTCCTTACATATGAAGACCAGGTGGAAGGCTTGTCCTTGATTCAGGAATTGCTGCCTTATTTATGGACAGCTTCCCTGTTAGGTAAGAACAGGCACAGCCCCCCTGCCCATTCATACTTCCATTGATATCACCGCAGGGAGAGTCCTTTATCGTTGCCGCTACTGATGACCACCGGGTGCTGCTCTGTGACAGTCCTAACATGAGTCTTGCCCTATTTCTCACTTGTCTCGTAGCTTATTCTTTTTTTTTTTTTTTTTTGGTGTCTTACTCTGTTGCCCAGGCTTGAATGCAGTGGCCTGATCTTGGCTCACTGTTACCTCCGCCTCCTGGGTTCAAGCACTTCTCCTGCATCCGCCTCCCGAATAGCTGAGATTATAAGCATCTGCTACCATGCCCAGCTAATTATTTTGTATTTTTAGTAGAGATGGGGTTTCACCATGTTGGCCAGGGTAGTTTAGAACTCCTAACCTCAAGTGATCCGCCCGCCTGGGCCTCCCAAAATTTTGGGATTACAGGCATGAGCCACTGTGCCTGGCCATAGCTTATTCCTTAGCAGTGTTAGGACCCTGTGAATAATTATTTTATCTAACACTGGATTAAACTGGTCTTCTTGTGGGTTAAATGAAAGATGCAGATAATTGGCATATGGGTCTGTTATCGAATGAGAACAGGCAGTGAGAAAAATATACTGCTAAGTAGAAGTTAGTTCTGCCACAAGCTCTTCCCAGAACATTCAGAGGCAGTTCCTGTCTGAGATCAGTTAGCTCCTCTGTAAAATGGGAAGGCTAAGGTGAATTTTGTCATGCTTTATGAACTGTAAAATTCATTCATCTCCAAACCATGGGAACATAATTCATCTGTAAATTGACAGCTGCTGGCATGGACTTTTGCTGATTACCGAAATCCTCATTTATGGTGTCCCAGATGCTATGGCAAGGTCTAGGATTGCATTATTTGGTCCATGAGAAACGGAACCTCAGAACATTAATTCATTTAGGAAATAAAGAGTTAAGGAATGTCAGCTTTCTGCAAGGCCTTGTGCTAGCATTGGTGTTGTACTGAACAAGACAAAAAGGTTCTCTGTATTGCAGGAACTCACCCCCTGGTGGCGAAAACTGAGGAATGGAATGGATCAAGTTTTTGGTGGTGTGTTGTGGTTAGCTGGTGAACAAGATCAAAGATGAGAAAGCAGATAACTTCCTTGGTTGGGGAGGCTGATGGCCCCACATCAGAATCACTGCAATAGTCACCTAATGGAACCTCAAAGAACCAGGCTTGGCCGGGCATGGTGGCTCATGCCTGTAATCCCAGCACTTTGTGGGGCGCCAAGGCAGGTGGATCATGAGGTCAGGAGTTCGAGATCAGTCTGGTCAACATAGTGAAACCCTGACTCTATTTAAAAAAAAAAAAAAGAACCAAGCTCAGGTCATTCACATGAGCATTCAAATGAGCACTGGACCTCAGTCCTAGATTGAAAAACCAAAACCAAGATCAAACAAAACACACCAAAAAGTCCCAAAAAGAAACAAACAAGAAATCCT